GTAATAAAAATACCTCCACCTATGAGCAGGAGGGAGTTAGGAAAGTAAGAGAAGAAGTAGTGAGGACATTTAGGCATGGTGGGGTGGGAGGTTTCATCAACCAGGAGGGAAGGAGGCAGGTGGAGAAGTTGTGGCTTGAAAATGGGGTTTGATGAATAGGGGGAGACAGGGCGCCAGATGAGGAAAAATAGGATTCCTCAGACCGAGGAGAGTAGAGGAGTCTGGCAGCGAAAACTAATGCGTCTGTATGCTGATCTACTCACCTCCAGTTCTCATCAGGCCTCATTAACACACAGAATTAATGCTGCTCTGAGACAAGAACGGTGGCAAACACACACCATTCAACATGAATATGCAATGACACAGGAAAGGGAGGAGTGCATTTGCTACCAAAAAATCAACTGCAAACACATCAGAATATTGTTTATTTGCAAAACCACTTATTTTTTAAATGGTTTTTCTCCCCCTGTTTTACCACCATGGGGTGCAAAGCCTTCTCTCCTATTGGACCTAAATAACATCACTTCTTGCTCACTGATTACAACTAATCAAAAAACACACCTCTTTAGTAGAAATGTACAGATCTGATATCAAGCAAATTTATTCAGTCTGAAAAGCAGTAAAGTTCACCACTTTATGAGCTTCTGTCTTTCATTCTTAACTGGAGTCAATTTAAACCCTGCAGAGAGGAGTCCTTCAAAAAAAAAAAAAAAATCAACAGTAATGATGAAAACATTAAAACAAGCAGAGCCCTGATAATGGAGAAATATGCAGATATCCAAATTCCAGTATCAAAAGTGAAAAATCTGGATCAGTTCATCCATTTCCTTCTTTCCGTATTCTTACGTATACTTTTTATCTGTAATATTTTGTACTAGCTTAAATGTTTAGGCTTAGTGCATGCTGGCTTTAAGCTTTACAGCATCCTCCAGTGTCCTAAAAGGTGTTTCTAAATTTAATGTATTATTATAAATACCATGGTGTACTTAATTATGAAGAGTTGTAGAAACAGATTTTACAGCTTTAGATATTTAAAATTCACAGTCCCAGCCAGGGGGCCTTTGCCAGGTCTTTTGTTTTTGACTATTTTATTGTTTTAAGCATGCCAAATAGGCAACAAATAATAATAATAATAATAATAATAATTGCAGATATGTATCCATCCAAATTAAACATAAGAAAGAAAACCATTCAACTTCAATGAAGTTCCGGCTTGTTCTTTTTTTTTCATCCTACATTTATTCCCCCCTGTTCTTCCCTTTAATTTATCGACATCTGCTAAAAACTTCTCTCTGGGTCTGTTTCACTTTGCTGTGGTGGAGATTCAAAACAAGTGGATCACATAATCCAAAATTACAGTTCTTAATAAACAACCACTAAACTTTGCCTCGTCTGTGCCTGACTGGCTGTGACACCATCCTTGACAGAAATATCCGCTGTGCTGCTGCCATCAACACCTTTGATAATAGATGTTTGAGATTGGCCTGTTTTTCAGTGTAGTCCTGTTTCTCTGAATGTGACTGGCTGGATGTGCTCTCTTCATCTTCTGACATGGGAGCTGGCTCGGAGCTCGTCTGCCTGGCTGTGTGTTTCCTGGATGGGGCCACCTTTTACAGCTGGTATTTGTATCTCTGCTTCTGTCTCCTTTAACCCCAGTCGGCCTCTGCAGATGGCCGCTCACACTGAGCCTGGTTCTGCTGGAGGTTTCTTCATGTTAAAAGGGAGTTTTTCCTCTCCACTGTCACTACAAGCATGCTTAGTGTGAGGGATTGTATTTGAGTCAATGAGTCGATGCAATCAACTGGTTTTCCTTAGATAGAAACTTTGAATCAATTTGACTGGATGATCTGGTGAACTGTAAAGTGCCTTGAGATGACATGTGCTGTAAATTGGCGCTATATAAATGAACTGAATTGAATTGAAATAAACCTGTTGTTTTTTAAACGGATAATTTTTTGGAAAATACCAACATTAAATAGTCAAACATTGGGAAGTAGAAACAAAATTATAACTAGCTTCAACAAACAGATCTAGCAGGTTTTCTTTTATCTTCCTGTATTAAGCTCCTACCCTTCAGCATGATGCCTTCTAGGTTTTTTCATGTCTGAGTATTGGGACAGGTCAAATGTTTACATTTTGGTCTCATCTGACCAGATCACCTTCATCCTCCTGTCCTGCTGTGTCCCCTGTATGGATTGTGGCAGTTCTCCAAAGGATGTGAACCTCTGCATCTCCACCAGGGTTACAACAAGCCTTTTCCCTGCTTCTCTGAAAAATGCTCTCCCTCTTCAGCCTGTCAAGTCTTAAGAAAAAGGTTTTCTCTTTGGTAGGTTTGCAATTATCCCAACAATTTTCTGATAAACCAATCATTTCTCTCCAGGGAGTTTAAAACCAGGGATCATGTTGCATAACTAAAGTGCTTTATACTTGTCCGCACGTTTATTCCCGGCTTTCTGATTAACTTTCTTTTCTTCACAAATGCTCACTCAACATGCTATATGTCAAGATTTATGGTTTTAGTTAGATAAACTGGTGAAAAGGTGAAAGGTGCCGATATACTGGTGCATAGAACTGTAGATTTTGTTAAGGTAGGTGGAAGCTACCAGACAAATACACATTGGAGTGAATGGGGAAGGCAGGACTTTTCTTTTTCAGGAGAGATTTTCTGAACAATTCGTGAAATGAAAATTCAAGCGTTAAATTACTCAATAATGAAATATGTCAAATGGATTTTTGTAAACCTGCTAAACAAAATGAAGCTTACTTTAATTCATCAGTTTATCTCCAGCTGCCTCATCATGATCAGCATCATTATTAACACCATATGTTATCAGGTATTAGTAAGTAAAGAACAGGACAGGTTTGACAGTCTCTAGTTGCTGTGTTTTTACTACTTTAAATGAATAATATTAACTTACAGAAAGTAATTGTAACAGGCATGAGGACTCAATGAATTTGAGACATTTTAGCTTCTCAAATCCGTTGTGAATGTGCAGCATCAACATGTCTGCTATAACAAAGGTCAGTATCAGGATAAAAGGACAGCAACAGAGTGTAATGGGATCATCTCATTCAAGGCTTGGGTCCCGGAGGTTCTGAGTTCAAGCTCCACCCACTCCCACAGGCTCCCACTACGGGTCCCAGAGCAAGACCCTTAACCCCAGACTGCTCCCCGGGCGACAACAGTGGCAACCCACTGCTCCACAAAGGAGATGGGTTTAATGCAGAGAGTAAATTTCCTCAATGTGGGACAATAAAGAATTTATATTAAAAAAAACAATGCAAAAAATAAAAAAGACTGCTCAAGTTCTGGTCCTTAAAAAAACTAAACTCAGACATCAGTTTATGTAAACATAGTCAGCTAAAGCACACCTGCACACCTGTGGGATGCAGGAGACATAGAGAGCATGCGAATCAAACATAAAAGTCGGACTTCAACATGTCGAGCTGATTGGAATGTGATCTAAGTTGGATTTCTGGGCCTCTTTCTGATTGCGAATCAGCTCCAAACTCTATGAAGACTTAAATGAAATTTGGCATCAAAATCAAGGCAGCACAAGGTGAAAGTATCCAGAAAAAGAAACTTACAGCAATATGGAGGAAGTCTGCTCCTCCAAAACAGACAGAAATCAATAGTTGTTTGCTAAAATATTCAAACCACCTGAACTTTTTCACATCATGTCACGTTACAAAGCATTAGTTTGTTGGAGTGTGTTGATCTTTGTAAAGAAGGGCCATAGCATTGATGATATGTGTTTATAACAAAATTTCATACAATAAAAAATTAATAAGATGTGTGTTTGACCCTGATAGCCTTATTAAAATCCAGCACAACCAGATGCTGTAAATTCCTCTGATTAGTAAACACATTTCAGCAATGTGTAATTAAATTTCAGTTAAGCACATCAGAGTTTTGTTAGAGAACTCTAGGGATTTAATTGGACTATGAAGACCAAGGAAGCACAACAGGGTAGAAAGTTATGGACAGGTTTAAAGCAGGGTTCGATTATACGGCAATAGCTGCAGAAATCTTCAGTTTGCTGGCCTAAAAACGATTATATTTAATCTCCTTGCAAAGAAAAAGTGCAATGAAGAAAATCATTGTGAAAAAAAAGATACAAAAAGCCACATCATATACAGAGAGGCACATGGCAATGAAATCCTTATAAAACAAAATAAAGCTCATGGTTGTAATGTAAAAATCTAAAAGATTTAATGTGGTATGAATGTTACAGTATCATAAAACAGATTTCAACACAGTCTGAGTGTCGTTTAACAAATCACTGACTTCAGTCGGATCAAGAACTGGATTTAAACAAAGTTAACTTGTCTGCTGTGCTCGGAATGTGAGAATGTGATAAAAGAACAATGGAGGGCATTATGCAAAATGTTTGTAAAATAATAGAAAAAGTCATGCTAGCATTTAGCAAAATAGGTAGGAAAGGCTTTTTTGAATTAATGCAAAAGCCTTTTAGAGACAACCATCGAAATTCCTCTGAGAGCAACTGAACCTCCTGTTAAAAAAGTGCTGCTAACAGAACAGTCTTTCCCATCAATGATTGTTGTACTTCAATAAAAATAGCTGCACAATAGGGACCCTCAACTGACAGCATGTCAGAGTGACATACCTCGTCATTTTTACTGATAGTTTTACATCTCCATTTTTCGGAAATTTAAAAGGTTTCACATACTCTGTCATTTTTATTAAGTAACCTAATTGGTTTCTGTTTTTTTGCGTCTTATAAATATGATTCATTATATGTGATAAATATGTTTAATTATTTGTAAGAAAACATTTTTCGTTGGGTTTTTTTTGGCACAATAAATTGTTAAGATTCAACGATGTTCAATATTGTTAAAAAAATATTTAGCCACTCATGTTGTGGATCTTCTTGATAAAAGAGAAAACAGCAGCCTCTCAACTCATCGTTAATCAATCAATAAGATCAATCAACTTTAGATTGGTTCATCATAACATGCATCCTTAGTTTGTTCAGTACCTGGTCCCAGGGACTGAGCCTGCCCCCGGAGAACATGAACAGGTAACCCATGGTGACCAAGCAGGCCCAGGTAAGGAGTGAGAAGAGGCGCAGCATCCGCTTGAAAACAGATTCAATGCAGACCAGGATGAAGATGGACAAGAAGAGGAAGAGAGCAGCGGAAACCGCGATCAGGAACGTCAAGTGAGCTTCAGTGTTCTAGAGGAAAGAAGAAATAAAAACGTAGCGTTATTCCACTTTACTCTCAAAGGCCATGATCTGCAAATATGGACCATCTCATGCTATCTGCACAGCTCTACTATCAATGAATAAATAAATGCTTTAGATAAAAACATGAAATAGTTATTCCTGGAAAACCAGGAACCTTTTAAATAGTTAATTTTGTGTCATCGATAACGTGCCATTCTCAATGAAAACGACATGACGAAACACAAAACAGATGAGCAGACGGCGTCCACATCGCCATTCAGACAGAGCTGAAGAATGTGCTATGACATCACTTCCACACTTAGGCCATTGGAGTCTGTGTTTAGAGGCTCGGAGCACACACCCACCTACACACACACACACTTTCTCTTCACACCAAACCAGATATTTCTATCCCATGAGCTCAGCACAGCTCATTTAAAACTGCCTCCTATATCCTTTAGTTATCTTATACCTGTGAATGATTATTTTCTGTCCTAAAATCCCTAAATATAACTCCTAAAATTAAAAAATAAAAATCTTTCCCTGGTAGATAGGTTCAAGAGAACAAAGTCAAACCAAGTCTGTTAAAGTAAAGTCCTAAGTAAGTTGGTTTATAAAACTAGGATCCATTTATTTTGTACTCATTTTCATTACTAACATAAAAAGACACTGGCTCTGACCTTGACACAATACGAGGACCATGCAAACAGTGCATGACCAAATAATTTTCACAGACTGGAAAATATTCCAAATTCCCATAAATATTTTCATATTAAAACAACTTTGTAACAAATTGCAATGAGGAGTCTAGTCAGAATTTTTGGGTCAACAGATTTATTGAAACATATGTTTGTAGAATGACAGGAAGGCCACCAGCAGCTGGATCAGGAACATCTTAAAAGGAGAAAGATAGGTGTTTGGCTGGGCAGGAACTTTCGGAAGATGTAAAGTTCACAAATAAAGCCAATAACCTTCTCAGAATCTGTTGGAAAGAAGGGATGCAGAGGACTTCACTATGGAATTGACTGGCTGTTAATATGAATTCTGGATTTGACGTGAGGGTTTGATCCAACTGAGCCACAATCAGAACACACAGTAAGAAATCTTCAGGTTTATTAACCCAGAAGGTTGGCAGAAACAGAAACAGGAACAGAAAGCTAGTCAAAGACAAAGTACAGAAATGAGGAAGAACACAGGGAGAAAGATTCAGGCGGACAGATCCAGGGTTTGTGCAAGAGGTTATAAGAGAGCAGGCAGAAACAAAGTTAATGTCCAAAGATCCAAAGCCAGGAGAATATCCAACATTGGCAAGATTAAGGAGGTAGGCAAGGAAAGATTGCTGTACATTTACGCACGCAGTGGCTTTCGATAATCTGGCACCTTTTGTCAGCAATAGAGCAGTTGTATGATAAACCCAGTTCAACAGATGGAGTGAACGAGGTGTGATTAGAACAGAGGCAGGGTAGACATAGGTGTAAACAATGATTCAAATTCCCATTGCACAGAGAAAAGTAGAGAGGGAGGATGTTGATTAAAGGGCTGGTTATACTTCTGCAACAGTGTGTCGCAGTGAGCTTGTCGCAGATATTTTTTATTTATGCCAAATGTTGAAGCGTGGTCTGCGTTATGTTATTCCACGCCACAACGCAAGAGGGACAATCACGAACTGGCTGTGGGTCTAGATACGGCCCGAGGTGGTGAGGAAGTGGGGGGGTGTTTGTGCGACAACGGAGGGACATGAGGGACACCTCACTCTGCTAGCTGGTGCAACTTCACGAGCCGTTTTCCACAATGGCGGTCATACGAACAAAACAAGTGGGTAAGGTACCAAACAGGAAATACTCATAGTGTAGAGCGGATGTAGATTTGACCAATTAGAGGCCTCCTTTCTGCTGTGACCTACAATTTTGGAGAGGTGCACCAGGGTGTCTGTGGAAGGGGCGGGAGCATATCCGCATTAACTGCGACACATGCAGAGGACCTGGATTCTGAGTATAAATCAGTCTTAACAGAACAGAATCAAAACAAACTCTTTAATTGTCTCAGAAGTTACACATTTTGTATTTAAAATTGCAGGTTTGTCTCAGTGATTGGAGGTTGAAGGTGGTTATTTCATCACAATTCGTCCAAGCTGTAAGTCAGCAATTTGTATCTATGTAAAAGAATAGTGTTTTTTATTCATTGCCAATGATCTGAATCATATTTTTCCCTCAAATAAAATCATCTATTTCAAACCTGTGATTTTTATTTACTTTGGTTATCTTTGTCTGATATGAAAACATGTTTGATTGTGTGATAATATTTAAGTGTGACAAAAAAAAGGGAAAAGCGGTGGAAAATCTGAAAGGCTGTAAATACTTTTTCACAGCCCTGCTCTTTTTCAGAAGAGCCTCATGCTGCCAATGTGGTTTGCCATTTCTTTGCTCATTTACACAATTTTCAAACCTATAAATTTACTAGAAATACTAGAAATCTGATGGTGTCGGAGGTAGCAAATAACAAGTGAGTAAAAAATGAAACCCTCCAGCTGGCTCCTTTTATGATTTGGAAACTATGCAGTAGCATGCAGGTAATGATGAAGTGCACTACCAGGTAACAAAAGAGTTCTCTTTCTCCCCTCTTCTGAATGTGTAAATTACAGAGCAGATGCAAAATCAGAAGGCACAGAGCTTCCATACGCACATCAGTGGCACTTTCACAGGCCCAAACACCCACGGAAACCATTTTAACTTATTCCAAGTCATGATTACACTGACGAGCCCAGGCGCTAAAATTAGACCGCCGCTGCGTGATTACATGTCATTTTAAAGTAAAATGAAAACCGGGGGTTTGGTATTGAGTTCTGTTTGATTTTGCCCTCATCGAGGGTTGCTAGCAGATGAAGGAGATGTCCCAGAATGCATCTTGAGTTTGTCTCGATCGTTCTGACTGATATCTGACCTCAGCATTTTGAGGATAATGCAGAGAGCTCAGTTTATCTTGAATTAAAAATAAGACTGAAGCGGTTTGCAGAGTACTAAAGTAGCAGCACTGTGTAGAAGACGTGATATGAGTCACAGTCTGGGAAGGAATCCCTAAGGGTGTCGCTGCTGACGCCACAGCAGCTTTACAGTGAGGAGACCTGAGCCCAGATTGGATCCTAACAAGAATGTAAGCAAGACTGAATCCTCTACACATCCCAGAGGACGATTTCAATGACGAGCACATTCCTTTTGCATCAAAGCGGATTTACTGAATGCACATACATTCACAGATGTCTCGTTCAGGGAAGGGGGCAGATTTTTCTGTGTTTTTAGTGGAGGGTGGGGGGGCATTCACTCATTTGGGAAAACAAAAACTAAGCATCTGCACTTTGCATATTTCTGATTGTGGCCCCTCTAATCCGCTTAATCCCGCCCTCGACAATACCGTTTAAAGCCGCTTCTCCCGTCATGTCACCAAGGCAGGGGGGGCTCTGCTTGCCTGCCACATTGTGCAGCATTGTAACCTAGAACAATCAATTCCTTTTTTAAGCCAGCCTGCCTCATCCAGCTATTATAGGGAGAGGAAAAGGGAGGATAGGTGGACATAGTAGCGGCACAAAGTAAAGCACATGTCTTGCAGCAATCGGACAAAAGCAGCCCAAGTTTAAAATGTTAAAAGTTGAAGGGAAGCAGACAGCTGGCACAGCCATGTATGCATTCTCTCACTTTTCTTGTTGGGTCCCTGTTGAATATTTATTGTGCTTGATGAAGCTGAGCTGGTGGCAGATTTCTTCAATCTGTTTTCCTCCCCGTTATGGAATTCATCAATAATCAAAAAGCTTTTCCTCAACTTCACCTTTTGCAGCCGAGATAAATTTAGACAAATTCTCCTGAAACCACTCTAGATCTAAAGGACACCAAGCTGGGAACTAAAAGTATCATAAACATTTTTTTCCTGACTCGTACAATGGGAGGATTTGCATGTGAAAACTAAATATTCTGCTAACAGTTTTACTCTATATGAATAAAGCATGCATCCATCTACTGAATATAGAATACAATTTATTTTTTTTATTATTTAAAAGTAAAAATGTACATATTTTTTTTATTATTTTTGCAGATTTTCCTCCCAATCAGTACATCAGTCATTTTTTATATCTTTCCATTGTCTTCTTTCAATTGTTTGCTGGAGTTTTGGCCCATTCCTTCTCACAGAACTGTTGTAGCTGAGTGAAGTTTCTCACATGTTTTCCGCCTATAGGTTTTCTATGGGATTCAGGTCGAGGCTTTGTGATGGTCTACCACAAAATAAGAACTTTGCAGAATATCATTGACTATATCTGCTCAAAAGTTAATTTCCTGGATTATGTTATGAGGTGTTTCTTAAATATATATATTTATATTTAATATAAGTGATTTTCTCCACTGTGAGATCAATAAAATCTATCTGATATTTCCACTAAAAGAAGTGCAACAGTGAGAGGTGATACTATCTGTGGGGATAGTTTGGTGAGATTTTAGTAGATAGGAGTCAGTGGCAGCTAGTTTAGCCTAGACCTATTGTAGCACAGTATTTGCCAAATGATTAGAGGAAGGTTGTTAGTAAAGATATGAAAAAGATCTTTTATGATAGAGGATTCTTTCCCCCTTCGACGTGTGGGGGGAGGTTCTGTGGAGCCCAGTGGGTCAGACCTTATCAGTTCAACTTACTGGACTTAAGGCATTAACTTAGCGAGGCCCGAAGCCTGCACTGTCTGAGCAACAGAGGACATGATACCTCTCTATGGAGGTATTTGTTTCAGTGGATGTATTTTTATTTGAACATGGGGCTATGATGAAAACCAGAACCCAGGAAGTCAGAATGAATACGAAAAAGTTCCCAGCAATAGCCAATCTTCTACCACTTAGGATGGCACCAGACATGTTTGAGACAAATGTTGCAGAACTTAAAATAAAAATAAAAAATCTCACATTAAAATGTAAAAGAAATTACAGTAATCTTAGATAAGCTCCCCTTAGACCCAGACAATACAGTTTATCTGCAAA